AGTTGGCCAGAGGTTCTCTGGCCTCTTAAGCAAAGAATTGAAAAGAAAGCTCTCACAGACTGGAAAGAGAAGTGAGGTAGCCATTCCAACCTTAATCAGAGATGCTTCTTTGGGCGATGAGGAGCAGTGCAGACTCGTAACTGGTCAAAGTGCTGAGAAGAAGTGACTTTGAGCGGTCAGCCTCAGATGAGACATTTTATCAAACCCACTCCCACCCAAAGCGAGAACATCATGAAAGGTGAGAGCCAAGGGGGGAGGGCAGTGCCACCTCTGGACATGACAGTGTCATTGGTCTCATGACCTCACAGCGGCTGTGGTGACCTGCACAGACCCACACAATCTCAAGCCACTAAAATTCCAGCAAAAATGGCAGAAGAGGGATATGTTTAGCCTTAAAAAAAATGGCATTTCAGGAGAGATTTTCACCTTTAAGGGTGTCCCCCCGCTTCTGTTGCTTAGCTCATTAGATGAGAAAAATTGTCTTACGTCTACGTAGCAAGTGCCCTGTTCTGAGCTTTTGGTCTTCCTGGGCATCAACTTTAAGTATACAATTAAAGAGACAGGCAACAGTGAACAAAGTCCATGTTTCTTTCTCTTCTCTCATAGATAGGATTTTTTTCCTAATTATTTCACATATGGGTCATTTCACTTTCCTCTGTCTGCCTGGTGTGTCCTAGAGCTCCCACGCCCTCCACAGTGTGAGAAAACGGGCACCGAGGCCTGGGAGGAGGGTGTGAATTAACATCTGCCCCAAATGTTCCCAGCACCAACGGCCCAAAGAATGACTTATTCAAGTTAATTCCGATGAGTCAAAGGAGTTTACTAGGAATTGTCATGAGTGGTGCAGAGCCACAGACAGCTGCGTTGTCCTGAAGTTGCCAAACAACCCCCAACTCCCACAGATACACACTCATCCACTCTCATCCCACATCAAGCACTTGGTTGAATTACGGGAAACTTTGGTATCTACTTAATAGAGGTGATCAGGGGAACGGTCAGCATGAGGCACAAGCAAGACCAGATTCTGGGAAAGTTATGTCTGTGTGTCCCTTTTTTCCATGGACACTCTGCTTGCCAGTCACTGACCCACAGGGCAGGAAGACTTGCTTTGATGCAGCCTGGCATGGAGACTAACTGACAGGATGGATTTCTGGCTCCTAAGGAGGCTTCAGGAGTCCTGTCCGGTCCCTGTGTCAAATCTGTCCTCCCCTGCCAGCCACTCCCAGCTGGACTCAGCCTGGTTGCCCCTCCTTGACTACCTCAGGGCCTTCTTCAACCACAGGTAGAGCTCTGATCCTAATTTTCTGTCCTTTGTTTTGTAATCTCCACCCTACCCCACCCCATTCCCCACCCCTCATGTTCCTAATTGGAGCAGGATCAATGGGAATATCAAGTTTACCTGGTTTTTTCTGTGGCTTAAAAATGCTGATGGTTCTTAGGTTTCAGAAATTTGAAAGAAGGGAGGAGGGGACGGAAGAGCTGCTTAATACTTTCCCATTAAAATAGCCCTGGAGACTGAGGGGGGTAGAGATGACCAAAACACACTCTACAGTGTGAGATTCTCAAAACCAAAAATAGAAATCATAGGACCATTGCAAAATAAATAGACCAAAGGGGAAAAAACCCTAAAATAGAGTCAGTGAGCCAGCTCAGCAAGTAAAGGTGCTTGCTGCTAAAGCCGGACAGCCTGAGTTCAATCCCTGAGATCCATATACTGAAAGGTGAGAACACACACATACAAACAAAATCATTAAAAAAAATACTAAAATGGGCATGGTGATCCATGCTTGGGGGAGGGGCACAAAGGTTCAAGACCAACCTGAATCGATTGACCTGTCTCAATCAATCAAGGCCAAGGCCACAACCTGAGACAGTAGGGCTAGGGCCTTTGGTTTAGGGCTAGAGAATCAAGATAAGTGAGAGAGGTGTTTGGTGAGGCACGGGTGAATTTATTTTTCCAGTATCTCACCATTTTCCTGCAGAATGGGAAAGGTGGCCTTGAGGGCAGAAGGAGAGCTGTCCTTCTGTTCAGTCCTCTGTAGACAGCGCTCTGCCCCTCTGTGAGCACGCTCTGGAGGCAGAGCGGGATCCTCCCTCCCTACACTCTCCTGTGGTATTCATTTGGGGCATGTGGTGTTCACTAGGCTCATCCCTGCAAGCCCTTCCCAGCTGGTTAAAGAACATCTAAGGCTGAGGCCAGCTCCTCTCCTGTGCTTAATTGCCTTCACTAATCATACCCAGATCAAGAGGATAAAGATAGCCTCTAGGGTCAGGGTGAGCAGCCCCCTTGATGCAGGCAGCAGCAAGTGCGGGGCTCTAATAGGCTCCTTGATGCAGTCTCAAATCATTGCTCTAATTAAATAAACCAACCATTGCGGTCTCGCTGCGCTGACACCTCCACACCTCTGCAAGCCACTGGGAGATGGAGGTGAACGGCTCTTCCTGAGAGAGTTCATACCTCCCTGAATGCCGGCAGGGCAGGAGCAGAGTCTCTTTCCTTCCTCTTCTCTTGTCTCCTTCCTGTCTCTCTGGCTCTCTCCCAGCTCTTTCCCTTCTTTCCCTCTGTGGCTCTTTGCTGCCTCCCACACTGACTTTCTGATGGACAGGTTCGTGTTATTGGTCTCTATGTTTGTGTTCGCTGCTCCTTTCTCATTTTGAAGCATTCTCCCAGTAGCTTATCTATATCCTCAAGCCCCACCTCCAGAAGTCTGTGAAAATTCTTGTGACTAGGGAGGGTGACCTTGAACTCCTGACCTGAGCCTTTTGCCTTTCCCTCCTACTGTTGAGGTCCTGTGCTGTCGCACTTGCTTTGCTGTTGTTGACTCCCTTTGTGTAGTTCTCACTGTCCAAATGAGTTGCCAGGTCTGAAATTCTGCCTCTAGCCCTCTCCATTTCCCCAGTCTGAGGTTGATATGCCATCTGACAGATTACCCAGGAACCCTGGGATCCAAGAATGCGAGCCATTGACACAAGCCTCACAAGCTCTAAGCCCCCAAGTGTCCCTGCTAAAACATATTCTTTCTCGCTGATATCCAGCTAGGTACCAAATTCTGAAATTCAGGGGTCATCCTTCAACACTGCCTTCCCACTTCACCAGACATGTTCCCCTGCCTCATCCAATATGACATTTGCCCTGAAAACCCTCACTGGTATGAGCTGATGGCTACAAGGGTAGGTGTCTACAATACCTTGGGTCTCTCCTCTTAGCCCACCAAGAGTCTTGCAAGACTCTTGGCCCCTCTATTCACAGCCTTGCCCAGAGCCAAGGTTCAGGAGACCACTCAGAAACCTTGCTGCCCTTCCTGTGAGTATTCAAGACTGACAGGCCCAGCGTGGCATCTCCTATCTCAGTGGAACCAGGAATGAGTGAAAAGAGATAGCCAAATCCACTCCCAGGAGACCTGGGGAAGTTGGATGCACACCTGCCAGATATGGGACGCCAGACACACTGCAGGTGCCCAGTCATTGGTCCATTCTTATTCCTGGGTTACTTAAAAATGATTTCTTGTAGCTTGCAAAGTACCATCAGGCTAGAGGTGTCTATTTTGATGTTTTGAATAAATTTCACCAAAAATTCTTCTAAAACCCTTCAGTACAAGGGTTGGATTTAATAGACCCAGTCTTAACACCTGTGACAGGTTAATTTGAGGAATTAGATGAGATGATGGCTAGCCCCAGCATGCACTGGGCTCATCACAAGTGACCAGCCCACTGCTCCCCGAGAGCCGACTGTTAACAGTATTTGCCAGAGTCTGTTGGCAATGAGAACTGACAGGTACTGTGAAAAACATGACTATGTCACGCCAAAACAAAACCCATAAACCACAAACCAGCACCACTAAAATAAAACAAACACTAGGGACTGTGTCCACAGAGCCTCCCCGTGGCCGTAACCCACAGACAAGGGCGTCTCGGACAGATCCTGAGCACTACTACAGGGTTTGCTCTTGCCATAGCTCATCGTGGGCAGCAGTTCTGAAGCCGCCATCCCTTCCTATTCCCAGGAGCAGATAGGAAGGTTTCAGAACTGCTGGGCGCTGTGAAATATTCCTTTACACTCTGTGAAGATGTGTCGCTGTGATTAGTTTAAGAAAAAGCTAAACAGCCAATAGCTAGGCAGGCGATAAAGGCAGAACTTCTGGACAGAAAGAGCTCTAGGAAGAAGGAAGGCTGAGTTGCAAGCCAGACATAGAGGAAGCAGATGTTCAGTAGAGAGTAAAGGTAACTGAGCCATGTAAAAGAGCATAGATTAAAAGAAAAGGGTTAATTTAAGTTATAAGAGCAAATGGGACAAGCCTAAACTATAGACTGAGCTTTCATAATAGTCTCTGTCATTTTTTATGAGCTGCAGCCCAAAGAAAAATCTGTTCACTACATATGGCATCCAGTGTATGGGCTCAAATATCCAAATATAGGGCCTGAAAGTTAAGGAAAGTTCTGGACAGGGAGCCAGATGTAACTTCTTAGTCCTGCAGTCTCTCAGGTGGGCTGGTGCTCAGCAGCACACAGCAGCATGGCAACCACCTACAGCCTGTGGGCTGGAGCCAACTGCCAACACCATGTGCCAAGCTGAGCCATGCCGGTGGCTGACATAGCAGTTTAAGAATGCTATAGGTGCTCAGTAAAGACAGATTCAGATGAAAAACCCTCCAAACAGGTTCCGGTAGATTTAAAGTATGCATGCAGGTATAAAAAAGAAAGAAAATGGGTGTAGACCATCATAGAAAAAAATAAGTAGTTTATAAATAATAAAATCTTTAAAGGGAGAATAAAATAACATTTTTTAAAAAGCCACATAAAGATGGGGAATATGCATGGCATCTGGATTCTGCATGGTGCTGTTTTGATTTTATAAATGTTTTGAATGCTAGTGAACAGAGAATAACAACTGCTAAGAGACATGGGATTGAAGAGGGATTGCTGAATTAAACCACCCTAGATTCTCTAGGAATACCTTAACTTTCAAGTGGAAGTTAGAAAATGTATCGCTTTGGTTTCCACAGGAAATGAAAGACTCTGGATTCCTTCAAGGTTAATAGAGATCAGGTTTGATCTTGGAAGGCCCCCTGACTACAGACATAAAGAAATAAACCTAGAAAACCACAAAGCAGGTAACATATATTTTATCTTCTCAAACATAAAACAAAAAATCATTTTGTCGGGTTTGTGTACAAGGCACAGTCCATACTTATGCTAATGCCAATATGTATGTTACCATTGAAAGTTTCTGTGTTTCTGAGCAAAAGGACCAGGCACCAATGAAAGAAGGTGACCCAGGTGATCCAGCCTCTCAAGTACCTTTATTGCAGTTTGCTCAGAGTTCCACATCCAGAAAAGCTTCAAGGCTGCTGACTGAGATGGTCCAGCCTCACAGACTATTGCAGCCAAGACTTCAGATAAGCCTTGCATTTTTCCCTTGCACAGAGACTGGACAACAAATGTTATGGCTAGTTTTTCCAGGAGTGGACCATTATCTCAGTTTTCTCAGGATCCCCCTAAAGATATTATAAGTAGTCTAGAGAACATGATGCCCACATTCCCAAGAGGTGGGGTGGGTGGTTTTGGTTGTTTGGTAGGTTATGGATGTTTGTCATCATTCATGGGGGTTGGTTACAAATTGTTACTGGTCCTGGATAAGGAGGAAGCTAAACAAAAGAGATTAGATTCAGGGATCTCTTTCTGAAGGAAAAAGGGGGAATATAGTATAGAAATGATAGGATAAATGGGTAGATTGTTGAGTCTACTTTTGAACAACCACTAGTCACTTATACTTTACGTTGGTATGGATTTTTGTATATTTTTTACAAATGTAAGGTTATTTCTGTTATACTGTATTTATGTTTCTATTCTTGCTTAAGGTGTTTTACTCATACAGCTTATTTAAAAATTTAATGTAAAATTTTAATCCTTGAAAGCTATTTAGGATAATAAAGAATACAGGTTAATAGTCATCTATAGCAATCAAAGTTATAGTCATACTAGGTATACTTTTAAGGTCAATCAGAAACATATTTTAAATAGATAGATGGTCTTCAAACACTTCAGATACCTACAGAATATGTCATTTTAATGTTTTAATAACATACGGCTTTTCATAACAGTGAGACACTCTGCCCCTGGCAGTACCAATTTACTTAGAAAAAGGATGATGGGCATCGAAGAAACTCCATGTGGAGTTTGCTTTCTTTATGGAAAAAGCTAGCCATTTGGGCGAGGGGCTGCTCTTGCCTTGACTGATGACAGTATGTTGTCCAAACTGAACAAGAACACAAAAGAAAGTGATTGGTAGGACAGTCCTTCAAAATTCCTGCTTTACAGAAAAGCCTATCAGATATTCTAGACCTGTAGGCTGAAGATGAGTGCCCCAGCATAGCAGAGGAGCCTTGGGGTAACTGTCCAGGCATCCAAATATCTCTGTCATTTCTTAGTTTTGGAAGTTATTTTCTCTGTACTTCCTCTTTCTTCAAGTAATATTTTATCCTTATTGGGTCTCTGATGGAGATTGAAGACTAGATAGTCATAGTTTTATAGTTTTCCTTGTTAACAAATTCATGAAAGAAATTTAGTAAGAGATGTAAAATTTATAAGGTTGAGAAACACAAAAATGTATATTGATTATTTTAAAAGATGTTTTAATGTCTAAAAAGATATTTTTCAGATGGTAATACAAGTTATGACGAAATGGTTTGGCTATAAAACTTCAGACTAAGATAGGATAGGCAATGGAGTATTTTCTCTAAATTTGCCAAATGCAAATGAACTGGACATTATAAACATAATTCTTACCTGATAATTGTGCTTATCGTATATAGTTTTACTGTGTTAGAGTTAAAGCCTTTCTTTTTATTCAGAGAAAAAGAGGAAAATGCTGTGAAATATTCCTGTGTGAAGATGTGTCACTGTGATTAGTTTAATAGAAAGCTAAATGGCCAATAGGTAGGCTCTGGGAAGAAGAAGGGCAGAGTCATGAGTCAGGCGCAGAGGAAGTAGGATGGGAAGGACAGTGTAAAGATCGCTGAGCCATGTAAAAGAATATGGATTAAATGATATGGGTTAAGTTCTAAGTGCTAATGGGACAAACCTAAGCTATAGGCTGAGCTTTCATAATTAATAATAAATCCCTGTATCGTTTTGTAAGAGCTGGTGACCCAAAGAAAAACTTGTTTATGACGGTTGAGAGTGTGGCTTTCCTCCTAGAAGATCTGTGTCTCCCTCCTGTCACTGCCATGTCCACCTTCCCTGGAAACACTCTGTCTACTTGTGTAGGTTGTGGGGGCCAGCTTAGGGCAAGTCATGGGCAGAACTGAGTATCAAGAGTAGACATATTGGACTTTCAGACCAGTGGAGGATGAGATGTCCTTGGATGCTGTGGCCAGGGCTAGAGCCAGGACTCAATGACCCAGAATCTATACTGGTCACAGGAGAGGATACAAAAGGCCTGAACAGCTTTGGTTGGGGTGTAGCTGTGCCCAGTGCCTGTTCACCTGGCAATGGCATTAACAAACAAGATCAAAGTCACACCTGTCCCCCATGGCCCTTTTTAGTTTATTTAACTTTATTCTTGAGACAGGGTCTCACTGTATAACCATGACTAGTCTGGAACTGGCTATGTAGACCAGGCTGGCTATGAAGTCCTAGAGTCTCATCTACCTCTGTCTTCTGAGTCCTGAGACCAAAGGCCTATACTATCCTTCCAAACTCCCTATTGAATATTTTTAGAGATTTATTTAATTCTTATGTACATTAGGGTTTTTTGCCTGCATGGATGTCTGTGTGAGGATGCCAGATTCCCTGGAACTGGAGTTACAGACAGTTGTGAGCTGCCATGTGGGTGTTGGGAATTGAACCCAGGTCCTTTGGAAGAGCTATCAGTGCTCTTAACCACTGAGTCAACTCTCCAGTCCCCTCCCTGTTGACTTTTTAAAAAATTATTTTACTTTATGTGTTGTGCCTGGGTCTTTTGCCTGCCTGTCTGTCTGTTCCTATGGAGACCAGGGGAAGCAATCAGATCCCATGAAATTGGAGTTATAGACATTTGCGAGTTGCCTTATGAGTGTTGGGAATTGAACTCAGGTTCCTCTGGAAGAGTAGTCAGTGTTCTTAACCTCTGAGCCATCTTCCTAGCTCCTTCCCCACTGGTCTTTTGAGGTGCATCCTAAGACCTGCTGGATTCTAGACAGGAAGCCCAGATGCCAGCAGAGAAGCTAATGAATCTGGGATGTGAATTAAGGCAGTGCTTGCAGGGGAAGGCTGCTCGTGTACCCCAGGGTAGAGACCTCATGGGCCCAGGCAGTGTGATGTAGGACCACTGCTCGGCTAAAGCTAGCATCTCCTCTCTCCCCAAGGCATTGTCCTTCAGCCTCACTCAGGCCTTAAGGAGTGAGACTGGCTTCAGGAATTAGTCTGGAGGCCAGACATGGTGGCTCGTGCCTTTAATCCCAGCACTCAGGAGGCAGAGACAGGTGGACCTCTATGAGTTCGAGGCCAGCCTGATCTACATAGTGAGCTCCAGGGCAGCCAGAACTATGTAATAGAGAGATCCCAACTCAAAAAAAAAAAATCCAAAATCCACCAACAAACAACAGAAAGGAGCTGATCTGGGCCGTCTCATAGGCAGGCACAACACCCATGTGGTATGATTATTCTTAAGCCTGCTGGGAAAATCTCACTCCTCTCCTCCCCAAATGGAAGATACTGGCACCTTACGTGTTAACCACCAGACCCTCAGGTCTTTCCTGATGTGGGAGCCAGCAAGGACCAGCTCACTCAAATAATGGGCCCCAGAAACCCGGTGGCTGATTGACTGTGAAGTGCATAAGCCCCTCGGAGTAAGAAGGTGTGGGCAGACACAACGCCTGTGACATGCAAAATCTGCTGCATGTGGCACAGGACAGCCTCATCTGTGAGCTTGGTGAGGTGAGATCATGTGACCTCACATACCAAAGTCAGCCTTTCCTGGGAGCGTGGCTGTGTTGAGATCCTGTGGGTCTGTGAAGGAGCTGGTGTGAACCAGAGCTAAAGACAGCCAGCAGCTCCCCCTTTCCCCTGTCGTACCACTGAGAGGACCTGTGAGTGGTGGGTAGCAGGGCAGTCAGAACAATCCTTAGGCTTCTTCCCCCTGCTTGCATGCATCTAGGTCCACATCTCAACACATGGTGCCTTCCTCCTGGCCCCTTAGGACACAACTTCTGTAACTGTGGTCTCTCCTGTGCCCTTGGCAGCACCAATAGGCTTGGTTCGGAGAGGGTCTGTGCAGCCCAAATATGTCCAGGACAAAGCCACCCATTCTTCCCCACAGCTGGAGCGAGAAGAGCCCAGGTAAGTTAGCTTAGCTGGGTGACACCAGAAAGCCAGCTGAAACAACGATCTGCTTATCCATGCAAACCTGCACTTGGTATAGACAACTGGGAGAATGTAGGAAGCAATGAAGACAGAAATAAAACCATCATTCGGAGGCAGCTACTACAAACAACCTGGTGTGTTCCCTCCTACTCCTCTTCCTTACTTGTTAGGAAATTGGGTTCTGCATGGGTCCAGCTTGCTTCGCAAACCTGTATTGCAAGCATTGCTCAATTTTCAGTGGCTGCATTATATTTCAGCACACATCGGGGTATGCTAGCATTTATTTAATCTTTAGCTGTGGACTCTGCCATCTTCATTCTTTTCATAACTGAATATGAGACTGTAGATGGCTAGGGACACCTCTTGGGGTGGGTGACATTTGGTGTTTAGATGCTAAGTGACAAATGCTTTGAGCTATTTTTGCATGCCAGTTGGTGGTGGGGTGAGATGCCACTTTATTAATGCTTAATAACCTAAAAGATACCCTCAAATGGAATAGTTAGAAAGGGATGGGATAGGTCAAAGTTGTGAAATTAAAGGCCAGTTGGTTACCTTAAATATTGTAAAACTATTAATAGAGACTTCCTGGTTGTTGGTTGGTTGGTTGGTTGGTTTGTTGAAGGCTGAGTATGGTGGTACATGCCTGAGATCCTGAGACTTGGGAAACTGAGGCAGAAAGATGATGAGTTCAAGACCAGCCTAACCTACATAGCAAGTCTCAAGCCATGGGCGTACAGTGCTTCAGTTTATTCAGCTGTTAAATGGGTTG